CCGGCGGCAGCTGCAGCAGCAGCTGCTGCTGTAGGTGCTGCAGCTGCTGCTGCTGCTGCTGCCACCTTACGTGCTGCTGATTTGGCAGCAGCGTGCAGCGCGCAACTTCCTGCTGCTGCAGCAGCAAGGAAAAGCAGCAGGAGTTTGCTGCTGCTCGGGGAACAGCAACAAAGGATACTGAAGGCCTTTTGCGGTGTATGTACACCAGCCAAGGTTGCTGTTGCTGCTGCTGCTCCCCAGTTGTGTCCTCTTGCTGAGCAGCCGCTGCAGCAGCAGCAGCCGCTGCAGCAGCAGCAGCTACTGCACCGTCCCCTGGTTCGCCAGTGTTGCACTTTAGAAGCACCGTTGGCTGCTGCTGCAAGCTCCACTGCAGCAACAGTCCTTCCTGCCTCTGTTGCTGCTGCTGCTGCTGTAGCTGTTGCTGCTGCAGCTGCTGCTGCAGACCCTGCTCCGCCTTGTCGTCCTCAATTTTAGCTGCCTGCTGCTGTTGCAGCAGCAGCAGTTCTCTCGTCAGCGAAATCTCTGCTACTGAAGGCTCCTCATCGCCTGCTGCTGCTGCTGCTGCTGCGCATGCAGCTGCAGCAGCAGCAGCAGCGCCCTCGTCAGCCGGACAGAAAGGCTCTAAGCAGCAATCCACTGAGGCTGGCAGCTGTTGCGCTAGCTGCTGCAGCGCAGCAACTACTGGCTGCTGCTGCTGCAGCAGCTGCTGCAGCGCCACAACGTATTGTTGCACCGTCACACACATGCTAATCTCCTGCTCCATTTTCTGCTGCTGCTGCTGTTGCTGCTGCTGTTGCTGCTGCTGTTGCTGCTCTTGCTGCTGCTGCTGCTGCAGCTGCAGGCTAAGAGGAGGATGCGCCAATCGCAAGGTGGCGAATATGCTGCCTTGCTGCTTCAGCGCGCTGCTGCTGCTGAAAGCAGCAGCAGGCACTCCAAGTGCTGCTGCTGCTGCTGCTGCAGCTGTTGCTGCGCCTCTGCTGCCAGCAGCAACGAGCAAGTAAGTGGCCGAAATGCAGCGCTCACCATCTACAACTACAGCGACAGTTGCATGCTGCTGCTGCTGCTGCTGTTGCTGTTGCTGCTGCTGCTGCAGCTTAAGGCGTAGAAACAGCGTTGCAGTATTGCTGTCGGCAGCTACGCTGCGCTGCTGCTGCTGCTGAGGCTTGGAAGCAGCACCAGCAGTTCCCTGGTGCTGCCCACAGTGCAGCAGTTGCTGCAGGGCGTCTATTGCTTCTGTAGCGTAGACACTCTCTGGATGTGGTGCAGCAGCAGCAGCATCAGCAGCAGCAGCAGCATCAGCAGCAGCAGTTGCTGCTGTGGCTGGCGCGCGCCATCTTGCTGCCCCTACCTCTGCTGCTGGCAGCACCGTGACTCCTGCTGCTGCTGCTTGCTGCGCAAAGCGCATGCAGAAGGCAAGGCGGCGCAGCAGGGGCAGCAGCAGCAGCAGATCGCCCACGCGTGCTGCTGCTGCTTGCTGCAGCAGCTGCTGCAGCCGCGGCGGCAGCCACAAGCACTGCAGCAGCAAAGCCCCACTAGTCATTGAGA